CACACACACACACACACACACACACACACACACACACACACACACACACATAATACATATATATAATACATATATATAATACATAAATTAATAATTAATAATATTCTAAGTGTGTGTGTGTGTGTGTAGCAGAGGATATCCAATACCTAAAAACAATTTCTTAAATTAAAATTAGACAATTAAATATATACATTCGTAACCACATTTTTGTTAAAGCAATCATCAAAAAATAAGCAAATTACTTGTATAAAATTTAAATTTATTTGCTTAATAATTTGGATTTAAACAAATAATCATTCTATCCATATTAATCATACTAAATTCCTATTGTTATTGAGACAGTCTATTACTAACATTATTATTAGTGGGAGAACATTTAGTAAAATTAAGAAAGTGATGAAAATTGTACCCTAAAATATATCATTAAATTAATTTTGCAACTGAACTTCAAAATATATATATGTAGCAATTGTTATTGATAAAATTATTACTTCCAGGAACTGACGAGAAATTAATTAATTTCCCGAAATTAATTCCGATCTTGTACAAGAATTTCCAACGGAACACTTAAACTAGACTTTGCGAATGGACTTTACGGAAAGCGATGAGGAATAACTCTCCATGATGAAAACAATTACAACTTTTCATCGATACAAATCACGCATTTACTAGCATCTATCTGATGCGAAAGATAGCGATGAGGTGTCTTTGTATATAATAAATTCATCAAATCGTTAAGATATATTTATAAGTTATAATTCTATAATGTTAAAAATGTAAATGTCAACAAGTAAGCAAGAAGTTAATATTTATTGCTTCAATCAAAGTTCCAATCTTTATGACTTATTTAATAAATATGTATACTATTTTAAGTACGAAAGAAAAATGACAATTATTCTAAACATCAAATTTTTAATTAGAAGTCACTCAAAATTATTAATAACTTTTTGATATTTAAAATAAAATCCAAATTGATATTTAAAATAAAACCCAAATTGAAAAAAGAAGTTTCAAGATAAAACATTTGTCACAAACTTGTAAAATTAATAAATAATTTTTGTAATATGTTTCGTCGATTTCGTATAATTTACATCAATAAAGCAACATAAAATTTTGTTTACTACGGCAAAATAAATGCTATTTGTATTAAATAGATATTCAATACATATTGTATATATCCCAATAAATATATAATGTATTAGTAATTATTGTGCAAATTACAAAAGTAAATATGATGACATTTATCTGGACATAGTTTACATAAATTCTATATCACATACCTATTATTATTATACATACATTTATTTACAATAAAATTAATTACAATATAATTTGTACATGTATAGAATTTTACAAAAAAGTTTAATTTCAGAGGAGCTGAAAAGGCAATAAAATTTAAAATTAATTAAAAATTTTATTTAATTGTTAATCCCTCTTTTCTAATTCAAGTATGTATGATACAGATGTATCCCTATCTATATGTTACAGTTTACTGTTTAAATTTATTATGTGATATTTTTTTAGTTTTATTATATTTATTTTTTTATTTTTAAAATAAAATTTAATTACCCGATCGCGAAATTTATTTAAGTGCCATTTAATTTGTAATAATTTAATTTCTTAATTTAAAATGGTTGTGTTTATCCCTACCTATCCATACTTATTGTCTCTACCTACACAGTCTCTACTTATCTATACTTTAATG